AGTAGGAGATCAAGGTCATTTATCCAGGTGTGAAAAAAAACTGACAAACAGGCCAACATTAACACGTGCACAGTCTGCTGCTATCACAAGTCTCATTTCATATCACTTCAGTAGGAAGTTAGATAAGAAACACTATTACTGTAGAAACAGAAATAATGTGTGTTTGAACAGGCGATAGCACTTTTGTTGACCATATTAAAAGACTGATTCTCAGTGGGCATTTAACACGGGGAAGTGGTGGGGAGATAGGCTGGCAAATCTCATCTGAGGGTGCACCTGGACAAACGTGTGCGTGTGTACATATACGCACACAAGCCTGTAAACTTGATAATTTGGCCAGATATCCAAATTGGTGAAAAATAGCACGACCTGATTATCAATGCTGGGATTTCCTTATCAAAACCTTTAATCTGAAAACTATCACCTAAGTGCTGAAACCAAAACAGAGTAATCCACATGGGAAGTTGAGATAAAAGTTTCAGTCGATATGATAACAACTACTGTATGGTTACAGTATTGAGACAGGTGGTTGCAGGCTGATTTGGCTGTTAGCAAAGCAGGCTCAGCACAATCTGCACATCAAACACCTGTTCCCATCTTATCTTGTGTGCATGTGTGTCTGTTTGTGTGGGCATATCATAATGAGGTCATTATGGCAGCTAATGGGCGGCAAATGGAAGTGTCCACCCAGTGGCCCGCTGGGAGCCATACCATGGCAGACGTTCACATGTGAGTTTAGAGACCAGCCAAGGTCAAAGAGATAAACAGACAGAGATACTGTCTCCTGAGCGTACAGTACATGTTCATTCTCTCACAGTCTGTATTCCTAACAAAGCAAGATGTTTTTGCTCAGCAAAACAAAATATTCTTAACTTTGCACTATATTCACACTGCAATGCATGAGAGCTATACATACGTGTCTCTTGAAGGATAAATCTGAATAATATAGATTAAGTACAAGAAAGGTATGCGCATTAATCTCTTTATTCCAATAACTTCTGCAGCTTTCCAGCTTGTTTTAATAACAAAAACAGAGTTTAGTTGAAATCTGGATGTGTTGAGGTTTCACTTCCAGGCAGCTGAAGAAAGATGCACTACATACACACACACACACACACACACACACACGGCTGGTGGAGCTCAGAAACTTTGAGGCCATAAAGTTTGACATATGGAATGGTGTGTTAATCAAAGACTCCATGCTCCCAGCTGGAGCAGCCTCACTGGGAAAACAGTCTGACACGCATACTTGAGAATGTCCTTGTGTGTGTGTTTCTCATGATAATGTAATCCCTGTCATCCTTTGTAGTGATGGTGGTATTTTATGCACGTGTGTGTGTGTGTGTGTGTGTGTGTGTGTGTGTGTGTGTGTGTGTGTGTGTGTGTGTGTGTGTGTGTGTGTGTAAAAAGTGAGGTCTGTTTGCTCCTCTCTTGCACCAGTACAGCGGTTCTATGCATTTGTTCTCCTAAACCTCTCCACAACTTTGGCCCATTAAATCTCCATCAAAACTACTTGAAATATAGTTTATAGGAAGGATTCCAAATTTTGGGTCAATGGATATTTACAAAAAATGCATTTGCTTTATTACCTAATCACCTCAGAGGAAGCTGACAGGTAAGAGGGATGAAGGAAAGCAAGCAGTAGGGATGTAAGTTGCAGAAAGAGAGGCAGTGCCATATCTTCCTTTTTTATTTGTCCCTTCCTCTTTCCTTCTGCCTCGCAGCTTTACCTGAGCTCAGGTAGAACAGCACAACAGGTAATCTGAATGTTTGGTTTGTAGGGAAAAACATAAGCCTTTCTTTCTTGCCTCTTTCACTGAATGCCCCTCTATATTCTCTGTTTTCATTCTCTCTCCAGAACTCCAAACACACACATAAATCCTGACGTCTTTACGTTCCTGACAATGGAAGCTACGGAAACAAACATTTACAAAGTAGGATATGATCATAGCGCAGACCAGACTCGCTGTGTTTTAGTTTAAATAATATTCTGCTTGTCCTAAGATGCCCTCCAGGATATTGTTTCTCCTGCCTGGCCTATTCCTGTAATTACACATGCACGCACACGCATGCACACACACACGCACGCTCTCTCACACACACACACACACACACACACGCACACACACACACAGTCATCTCAACAGTGAGAAGACTGATAGAGCAGCTTCACTGCTGAAAGACTTCCTCTTTATACTGTATATATACAATTATTGGAAAGAATCAAATCTAATCACATACAACAGGTGGCTGATTGTCTAATTTACGCACATCAGACATTAGCCATTTTGACAGATATGTGTCAATCCAGCAACAAGGATGCATGTGATAGGTCCATTCTCCAGAACTCCAGAATAAACCAGGAAATTATTCGAACCCAACAACATACAAGCACAACATACCGCTGCTGCAGAAGCAAAAACTATTAAAACAAAAAAGTAAATTTGACAATTAAAGTAGAAGAAAACGCAGCCTCATCAATGGGGGTTTGTTATTAAGCTCAGTAAAAAAACATACTGCTTACTGAGCCAGTACCATCTCCCTGGATTCCTAGAAAGGCAGATAAGTAACTTAAGATGAGATAGATTATGAACTAGAGACAGGTTGAGAGAGAATAAGACAACAAGGAAAAAAGAGGGCTACAAAGACAAAGTGATGAGAGATGAAAGAGAGCACTAAAGAGAGTAGAGAAACAAAGAGGGCTTCATTGTTTTCTCATTACTGAAGGAGATGATAGCATAATATAGTGCTAATGGGGGAACAAATTGTGTGGCGTTCAGCTTACATAACTGCTGAGTGACTAATCACAGAAGATGTTTCCTTGACACATACACGGCTATCAGCCCTCTGTATTTTTCTTGTTCTGTCTCACACACACTGTCCTCATACAGCCATTTTGTGAATGTTTCAAGCCATTTATTATATTTGCCAATGCCAACATTCAAGAGAAGTTCGTTTTTGCATGTAAAACTAGTTTTTGATCGTAACCACCTGTCATCCAATGGTGCATGCACTGACCCATTCCCCTGATGTCGAGCACAGGCCCACACCAGGAGCAATGGTCAACTGTCACTACCTTCTCACCCAATCAGACCACATGGCCAAGAACATCTGATAACCCAAATGGCCAGCTGTTTGCAAAACGACAGAAGGGTGAGAAACAGTGAGGGAGTGAGAGACTGAGAGAGAGGACTGTGGAGTGCAGTCTCCATCTGCTAATGTGCGTCAGTCCTTGACAGTTCTGGCACATCTAAAGAAACCCATGTACTTCATACTGTGACTTCCATGCCAACGACAGAAGGCATCAACAACCAAAAATGATTACTGTGAATGAGTATGGCTTCATTTTCTGTTTTGGTGCACTTAGTAATAGTGATAAACACTACTAGATTACTGATATTGTGCAACATTAAGGATGAGTAGGCAAAAGTTTTGTGCCGAACCTTACCAATGAGAGCATGTAGTGTACTCTACAGTAACAAAGCCATGTGAAGAGGTCTGCTGGTTGCTGTGTGTTGTTTTTCGTTAATGCTGGAGGAACACATAGGCCACACATCAATAGACTTCTGTCAGTAGGGGCTCCAGGCACAACAACCGCAACACAACCGCAATGCGACCAAGCCACCCGCCAGCCAGTCGACCAACCAGCCATCCAGCATCATCAGCTGGAAGTGAAGAGTGAGGAGGAACAGAGGAGAGTGAGGGAGACTCTTAAGAGTGACAGAGAGAGAGAGAAATAGCGCATTAGAAGAAGACATAGCCAACTAACTGCCATGTCCCCGTACATCTAGCAAATCACACAAGGTTTTCACTAGCTAAGAGCCTACATTGCTGCTAGCTGCATGTTCACCCGTGAATCCCACAACAACGAGTTCCTGTGTGCACAGCATTAATGGTCGATGCTAGCTGTGTGTAGCGAGACAGCAAACATGACAGCCTGTCGACTAAATTCTACATCACGCATTTCAAGCTCTGACGATGATGCCGTTACATAGCTCGGCCTGCCAAGAGTACATTAAAACCTGATGGTTTATGGTCTACTGCCATATTTTTTTTGGTGTAACTCTAATCTGCCACATCAGCCACCCAAGGACATGGTTTTTCAGACTGTCTTGAACTATCACATGTTGCACTCTGCTCGGGGCTGCTTCAGAGGCACTGACGTGCAATCAGAGGTCTGCATGCCTGTGCCAAGGGAGCACGGTAAATTGTCAGCTGACGAAAGACTGGAAATAGTGTGTTTTGGGTTTGGTCCGTGGAGACTTTAGCCAACAGGAAAGCGCCGGTGTTTTCCTCTCCATGGGGCATAATGGATTCTCCCCGCCAATGAAACACTATTCCGGCTGGCGGGCAGGACCGCCAGCCACCTGAGAGCCTTTCCCACAACACCCCCCTCCTCTGTCAGAGCCAGACCCAGCTATCACTGGAGATCTGGGACAGATGGAAGGATGGAGAGAGGATGGCTGAAGAGAGGAGGGATGTGAAAGAACAACGAATAGGAGCAGATGGTAAGAAAAAAGGGAGGGATAAAGGGAAATTGGCTCGCAACTCTCTGTTAGATGACTATGGAGAATCTGTGATTTCTGAGCAATGTATCTGAGCACCACCGCCCATATCTGAATACACAACATGATACTGACATACACATGTTACCATAACAACCAACAACACAATGCAATACAACACACACAGACACATCGAGTTGACCCCTTACCCACCCTTCGCTGCATACCCCTCCTCTTCTTCCACATCTGTATATGTTCATCCCTCCTTCACGGTCTGTCGGCATCTCCGCAGACTTGAGATGCTCCCAAAGCAGGCAACACTGGCACACAGTGGCCACGAGAGCAATACACTCTACTGGAACAATGGCCTGTTCATGACGTTATCAGCTTACAAACATGCACTCATAGTCCACGCACACATTTGGATGGCTGGCATCACACTGGATGTTGTGCAAACCTATTAAAGAAGTCAGCGAGGTCACAAACATTTTGTACCTTCTCTCATTGTCGTCCAGATGAGCAAACAGCACATTCTTAGAGATGGCCTTGGCCAAGGCGGTCATGGTCTTGTAGTCCTTTGGTATCACCTGTGCAGACAAAGCAGTAATATCTATTACAGCAAAGTAGACTGCAACACTTTGCAGGTGGACACATGAAACAAACCAGCACAAACACATAACAGGCCTGACTTCAAAAGCAGACTAAATTGAGTAATTAAAGAGCAGCGTATTGGCAAACTCTGAAAGGAATATCCCACACACACGTGTGTCTATGTATTTTTGGAAAAGCCAATCTGTTCAGGGATTACACTTAAAATGTCGCACAGCCCTTAAAGATTCACAAGAGGCCTGAACTCATTCATAAAACATGCATTTTCATGTCCCAGACTCCCTTTCTCTCTCTCTCTCTCTCTCTCTCTCTCTCTGTAAATGGAAATGGAATGGCATAGTCTGTAGCCACAACAAAGCCACTGAAGTCCATATTTATAAAGAGGCATCTATTTTTAGGTGGAAAAGACCAAAAGAGAAAGAGAGAACGTGAAAAGATTAAGACGACCAATCTCAACTCTTCTTAATGCAGAATAACTCTGTGTATGTGTTTTGTCTCTGGTGGTAGGGGAGAGGAGGGGGTAGGCTGTAATTATTTTAAAGCAACAGATGTCTCCACATGAAGACGACCACACAGCACTGTGCACAACATGCACAGAAATACACACACAACCACATCACATGTAAAATAAGAGGTACCAAAATTTCATCTATCGTAGTAGTAGTCCAGCCGGAAGACGGAAAAGAGAAAGAGCCTGTTTTTGCCTGGAAACTAAGTTAAAGGAAGAGAGGACACAGCCACCCAGAAGGGCTCAGTGAGAATGAAATAATTCTCAAACTCAGACTTTAGGCCAGTGACTTAATCAACCTCCATCGCTTCAGCGCTGTCACCCAGGGGATCATTGAATGTCAGGTCACTCTGCTTGTTACCAGCTTTTGAATCACTCAAAATTATGACTGATCTGTCCTTTCTACAGTAACCTGTCAGGATAATGTTAAGATATTCTGTTCATGCCGATTGCGGGAAAAAAAAGTTGGGTCAAAGCCACATGGGAAAAGGACTGAATGATTTAACAGCTACGCCACACAAGCACTTATGAGAAGAAGCCTGGGTAAATTACTTGTTCGATAGTAAAGTAAGAAAAGTAAAAAGTGAAGTTAGTGACAAGCTATGTATCTGCCTCCATCTGTAATACCTATTTTTATTTTCAACATTTATTGTATCACATGCAGTAGGATTTTAGCTGTGACGCTAATGCTCGGACATCCCAAAGATCCTCATTTAATGCCACAGAACCCCTTAAAGTTGGTGGAATATCTGAATCAACGCACATTTT